TCACGTCCCGTCGCCACAGCTCCTGTACCACCGCTGAGCGGCCGGGTCACCGGCTCGGCTCCTCAGCGAAAACCTGAATATGCGCTGCATCTGCTGCCCACTTATACTCACGCTGTGATCAGCAGCAGCTGGATGCAATAATCGCATGCCAATGTGCATTGGCTCGTTTAGTTTACACTCGAAGTAGATTGGTCTCTCTAAGCGAGATCCCAATTCCCAATTCGTCGGTCATCCGACGTCACATCTCTGTTCCCTCCTTCAGGGAACGAGGGTTACCATACGTAACCGAGACGTTCTCCTGCCTGGTAACATCATAAGCCAATATTTTGTACTTCACTTCATGCATCTGCATGCATCATATTACTTGTGTCGATATGAATTGTTCACGCAGTCTTATGTTTAATTTTGTGATGTGATTTTAAATGCAGTTTTTAACATTCAGGGTTTGTTGTTACATCCCAGTCACCAGGGGTTGATTAACTTTGACCTCTACCCATAATTCTATATGGCTGTCAACTCTTCAATATCTACTACTTTTATTGCTAAATTCAAAATACTTAATTTAAATGTAAGATCAGAAATTATTATTATATATTTTGTAGAAAAAAATAAACCTTTCTTTGGTTTAATAATTCATGCATCAACAGTGTTTCTAAAACGTACAATAAATGACTTAGGTATTTTTCAGTTTGATGTCAGTAAGAATTTTTTAAATGAATGCTTTTATTTAGCAAAGCCAAGAATGCATTCAATTGCTCAAAAGTGACGGTAAAGACATGCACAAAAGTTATATCTGAAATTCATCAAAAAATCCTGAAAAAAATGTATCACGGTTTTCACAAAATTATTAAGCAGCACACCTGTTTTTAACATTGATAATAATAAATACACCAAATCAGCATATAGAATGATTTCTGAAGGATCATGTGACACTAAAGACTGGAGTAATGGCTGCTAAAAAGCCATTAGCCTAGCCATCAATAAATTACATTTCAAAATATATGAAAATAGAAAAAAGTTTGTTGTAATATTTAATATGAATTGTAATATTTTTACAGTTTTATTGTTTTTACAGTATTACAGATAATACACAGATAATACAAGAAGAATAAAAAAATTAAAAATAGAACAAGTAAATAAGGAATAACAATATATAAATTGACAATTTTATGTGCAGGTATATTACAATACAATATTATTTCTTATTTACATAAGAAATGCACAGATCCGTTATACTGATGTACATTTGATATTTTCTTTACGGTTTACAATCACTTAAAACAACCGACTGTGCTTACAAGGATACTTGTCAAGACAGCCATTGGTATTCACCTGCTGTCTGAGAAGGCTATCGGTTTGTGCACTTCAGGTGTGTGAGCGGTGCGCATAGAAACGCTCTATCACAGTGCGTGAGTACCGCATTGAGATGTCTTGGGCTTAAATGGCTTAAAATTACTTTAATGTTTAAACTGACAAGACTTAAAACACGTGAGAATGAAAAACTTTCTCGAGGAAGCAGCACTGGCCTGATCGTTAAGATAGTTTTGGGGGGCTAAGGTGACAGATAGTGGGGCTGAAACCCACCTAAAAAGGGTTTAGAACCGCCCCTGGTATAGCGTGCGTAATTATACTGAAACATAAATATATAACCAGTTTACCTGATTCAATGTGATGGCTGAGCCTGTTTCTGAGATAACAACATGCCAATCAGTGGTTGGATTTCCGACACGGCTAATCGTAAATCATCTTACACTGTCAATAAGCGTGACCAGGGTTGCCAGGTTTTCACAACAAAACCCGCCTAATTGACCATATGCACGATTACTTTCTGGTTTTAGATAAGCCAGCTCAGTAATTTCTGGTTAACTGTACTGTGCCTTAAGGGAGCGCCCTTTGCTCAGTTTCTCTACATAATCCATTCACAATTTGGAGAAAAATGTTGTTTGTCTGTGATTGACGGTGAAACTGTAGCAATGTAGAAACCGAACTAACTGACAAGCC